CAAAAGCTGGAATACAAACATGACCCATAGGGGTGCTGAGTTCTTAAAATGTTTTCCCATTTTCAGTATTTTCATCCCGAACCATTGTGGGGTCATTATACAAGACAGTATCGTACGCAAGAACGCAGGAATGCTCATAAATGAGAGGAGACTGATCTAGCATTTATTTCAGTTGCCAATTTATCCATGGATGCCACTAAATTAAGGTAGTTGAATAGTTGCATACAAAAAGCCATTTTGAATAGTTGCATACGGAAAGCCATTTAAAATATGAACATAACTATTTCAAAGTAACGTTCTATTTTAGAAAAAAAAATAGATTTATATTTAAATCTCTCTCAGTACTTTGACAAAAAGATAGCGTGTCAATTTTAATGTTCCTGGAAACAAGTGGTACAGAAGTATTCATAATTGTAATATTCTAAAGTATCTCTGTTAGGTCATCATAATTTCTCCAAAATTGAAAATTGAACATTTTAAATGTTAATCTCTCCTACAAAAAGTAGAGTATCTCAATGAATATTCAAAATTGGAAAAAAATAACTGATTTTATACATGACGTATTTTTCACTACACAAACAATAAGGAAATTAAAAACCTAGTTGCAGTGAGCGCTGATTCAGTTGACATGGAATGACCCTACTAATAGCAACAGAAGCAGTACAATGGGCAAAAATGGCCATTTGTTATTTGTAAGGTTTCATTTGTTCTTAACAATAGCAAGAAATCAGTGAAAAAATGCTATTGAAGTCTAGACATAAATATTCAGTATATGATGTTCTGTACAAATGTAAATGTCTCATTTAATACATTATATAATGTTCCACATATTATATTCAGAGGAGTTGGTTGTCAACTACTTGCAGTTTTAAATAGAAACAGATATTTTTTTGACATCTGTCAACAGACAACAGGGTAAATCAAATGAAGTTCTGTCTTTAACTTTCCTGCCAGGCACGTAAAAGGAATTTAATGTGTAAATATCATCCATTAGCCACTTCTCAACTAGTGTTTTTTTTTCTATTGACCATAGTCTAGATGCAATTTGATTTGTTTACAAACCAATATATTTTATTACACCATTTTTTAATCAACATTATTTAACACTTACAATTAGCTTTTTTCTGCCTTCCAAATATCCCTTATTTTTCCAGACTTGAGAACTTTAAATTTGTTTTATCCCAATATTTCACTGCCCAACATTACTTTTTTCTAGCAAACCACAATGAGGATTAAACTGTTACAACTTAGAAAAATTATGTTGAGGTTTAGTCGTAATTCTTAAAATCCTAATGAAAGGCCTACTGACAAAATTCTGTAATGAAATCTATGAATACAAGCCCAGTATTAACTTGTCCTGAGGGCCAAATTGTGGTGCTCATAGGCCCTAGGTACTTCCACTCTGAAATGTGAAAAAAGAAGGGTAAACGCCAATTGAATTGCGTCTATTGACATGATGCACTTTAAACTATTGTATTGACCAGGGGATTCACACAGAACGAAGCTCGCACACCCCTGATGTGCCGGCAACAACAATTTAGGGGGGCATAGCTAAGGGGAGGTATAGCCACTAAAGCGATCGGAGCGAGCACTACACTATTCCAATGCTAAACCACGGGACTGACGGAGCAAGTTGAGCAACCATCACTTCGATACTTTCTAGAATAGCCACCAGATAGCGTATGATTATTGATTTGGAGCACCTAAATCGCAAGCATGTTGTTTCAGTTTGTTTTTCGTTAGTCACTTGTGCTTCCCTCCTTCATAGGCCGTAAAACTTTTGTAGGCCCTAGGCCCTACAGTGCCTAATGGGAAATCTTGTCCTTGTCCTTCTCCTTCACAGGGGGAACAGGAGCTTACTTTTTGTTTTTATCTTAAATCACTGTTTCAAACTTAACTCTTAAATTGGCTTAATGTAGAACCCAACAGAGATGTTGATACACATTGCATATGCATGGGCAGAACAATTATCCACTTTCCATTATGACTTACACTCTTATTGCTTCAATTGCTCTCAATCTACAGTATAACTATATCATTCCTGCATGATAATTGAATGCTCTCTTTGATATGGATTAAGCACTGCTTGTTTAAGCAAGATAAAAGAAAATGAAAGCTTGAGCAAAAATCAGAATCTCTTTTTGTTGTACTGAAATATTTCTTCTGTAAAGGTCAACAGGAGCAACATCAGGAGCCTCTTGTAATCACATGATCTGCCTGAAGAGGGTTTTGAACTAAAGACAAGTCATAGAGTGTTCCCTGCTCATTTCTGTACCTCAATAGCCTTAAACTACGACTGTATTCATATAATGCAGAGGTGAGATTAGGAGCTATTTTATTGTTTTACACATTTACTTTGCTTACAGTACTTGTTTCTTAACATGTTAACAAATACACGTGCTTTAGATCAAACCTTAGTAAAACACCTGACCTTACTTCTTAAACCTAGAATGCTAACTATAAAGACAGACAAAGAACATTAAACTCTTCACTGAACAATATCTTACAGGGTGATATGAACGCTTATAATTTAAAGGGATAACTAAAGCAGATTCCAATTGCCATTTCAACTCAGGTTCAGCATGAATAATACAAGGATACCAATGGTAACTGATAAAAGCGACTGACACTTCATTGACATAAAATGCTGTTTCTTTATTTTACAGAGATTTATGATGCCATGGAATGAATTGCCAAGTAAATAAGGCAAGCTATGTAGGATCTTTAGAATTCAGTTTGAGGCTTTCAAAAAAGCACCAAGTGTAAATGAAGATGGAAAACTGACGGACTGGACAGCTTATTCTTGTCAGAATTTCTTATGTTCTTAAGAGTGTAAGACTCTTACACTATGTGAAAATCATTTTGAGTGTGGTTTAAAATGAGTGCTGAGCTACAAGTTAAAATTTACCAGAAATAGATTAGGCTAGCCTAAGGATGCACTTCAAAATGAAAAGAAAAACTATTGGTGGCTGTCAGCAGAAAGGCTGCCAAGAAATTGGAAACAATATGAATTAATCAACAGCATCTGCAAGAGACAATTGAAGCCTATGCTGTTTATTCTAATGTTATGTGAAGTAAATTGCCCTAAAAAATGTTTAAAGTGGGTTTCTAATCCATACATCATAGTGCATTTTGCAGTTTAATATCATTGCCAATTTCTCTGTGGTAAACCTTGTTAAGTGATGTTTTTTTGGCAAAATAACATCTTCTAAAAAGCAAATTTCTATATTTCTGCTTTTCACAAAATACAATGCAATGTGCGATATACAGTATAAGAATGTCCTTTTTGCTTCAAAGCTCCAAAAACAGAAGCACATCATCCTGTATAGTCCAGTGATTTTTAAACGTGGTCCTGGAGTACAGCAGTGTCTACTGTTTTTTTTTTTTGTTCCAATAGGCTCCTTGATCACAAATACTAATTTCTTTCACTTTTTAAAATATTTTTAAATATTTGCTAAGCTGTTAAAAAGCTAAAAGATCGCAATTAATGAACCTGGTAATAATTAGTGAATTTTAGACACTCCCTCATTCAGGTGCTAACTGAACATAACAAAAATTGGACTTCAGAAGAAAGCAAAATCACAGACTCACTGTTTTCAAGTGTCATTCCCACCTGTGTCCATTCATCATCAATTGATCAGCTGTTAACTGTTGTTTTTCCAGGGAGAAGGGAGCAAATCCTGAAGTTGAGGAGAGACTGCATAATTTACTTTGTGATTAAGCTTTTTAAAGCAATGTACTTTTGTGTTTTTGAAACCACAGTCAGTGCAGAAAAAGTCCAAACCAGCAAGCACCAATCAGCATTGGTGATTAAGAGCTTAGATGGAAAAAAGAGCAGATACAAGGGTAGTCCAGGACCAGAATTAAGAACCACTGATTTACGAAGAAGTTGCTATGATAAACGTCAGCAGCCATATACAGTACATACACCTTTAAGTCACTCCTAATAATTTAGTCAGTGACTGGTACCCTATGGATTGTACTTTTGGTCAAATATGAAACACTGTTTGAAAAGCTAACACTATTCCACAAGTTAAAGAAGATGATCTAATGATTATTTCAACAAACTCAATCCACTACAGTTGGCAGAATGAATCTGAAAAGAACAAAATTCAGATCAGCCCATTAAATTTTAAGCTTAGATTGACAAATACAGCATGTGTTCACAAATATGTTTATGTGCTTTGAAGCTGTCAAATACCTAAATATTTTTTTTAATTCAAAGAGGGTTAATCCTTTTTAATTGCACAATTAGGTGTAAGAGTGTATCATTTCCTGACCACTTTCAACTCTATGTTAAATCTTAACAGGAAACTTTCACTATAATCAGTTTTAAGCATAGCTTTGCAATCCTACAGTATAACCACCAGATTGATCATAGTAGCGTTCAGTGGAAATCTGTGGAGTGTATTGCTAATTAAACATTCATAATTCAATGCTACTCGAAATGACAGATATTTAGTGTTACTATGTGTGTTACTATGATAAAAGAATCAGTAAATAAAAACCCTTACTCATCAAAAACCACCACAGAAAATCCCCAAACAAACTCCTAATGATGCAAAAATGTAGACATGTTATACCATCTAAAGGGCTGGTGAAAAGGGCTCCAATTTGGGCCTCCAGGAAGAAAGATTTATGTGACACTTCATGTGACTTCATTGTATATTCCTAGAGAACAGCTTGGATGACAGTGTATGGCATGAGAACATGAGAAAATTTAAGATAAAAAAATACAAATCAAAGTATGCTTGAGTGACTAATCTGCCTCATTTCGCAATCACATGTTGCCTGCCATGTCCCATCAAGCCCTTATTTTTTTAAAATTGTTGCAAGAAACACTAGGTAGGCAACCACAAGATATACAGTAAACAGTCACAGTGGTGTTTATTAGAGACGAATGCAGATGACCTTATTAACATTTTAGCTTAATTTTGTTCAAGTTCCTCCAGGCAGGAAATGCAGACGGTAACCAGACGGCCCAGGGGAAGGCCTCTTACCTGATGCAGGTTGATAAACACGTCAGTCCCAGGAGCAGCACCTCCAGCCGCCATGCTCACACAGAACACCACAGGAAGCACGGGGTTGGGGGATCAGCCCTTTTCTTTCACTGTTGGAATTCCAGTAAAGCTGTGCGGTGGCATAACCTGTAGACAGGGACAGAGGGAATGAAACCAAAGCACTTAATTTTTCTGCATCTCTGATGCAGCGCCAGTGCAGAGTGAAATAACATCAACATTCCCTCAGTCTTACCTGATGAGATTTCTTTTGAAACTGAGCAAGCATCAGTTTTTCCCCAATGGCGGTAAACAACTGATCTCAGTCTCTCAACCTTACCATAACTGCTCATGCTGATAAATTAAATGGAATTATAAGAAACTAAATAACTCAGTCAAACGTCCTATCCATTAGACCCTTGTTACTTTCCTTATTTTGTAATTTTGTCATTTTTATTTTATTCTTGGTTATTCTCGAGAGTAATCTCAAGCAACTTCTTAGTTGAGGCATAACTGAAAAACATCAATATTTGAAAATCACTTCAGTCTCTGATTCTCTGTAATCTTTATTTTAACTTACATTCCAGATTGTGGCTTATGTTTACTGACATGCCTTAAATGAATCTTCTAAGCTTTCCCATTTACTTAACTTTCAACAGATGTCATAATGAGGCTAACTGTACAACATTGTTTTCAACAGCTGCTGTCACCATGCAACTGTAGCAAATGAGCCTAAATCAGACACTGACACTAAGGATTATACTGCCTCTCTAGATGTACAATAAATATCATGGATGTTAATGAAAAAACAAACACTAGTGGAGTAGTTGTTAGGGCTACGGACTTGTAAATGGAAGGAAATTCAAATCCTGGGTGGAGCACTGCTGTTGTACCATTAAGGTACACATAAAAGATCCAATAAAATGACCCGCAGTAAAAATGAGTGCAAATCTAAGTCAGCCTGGAGCAAAGCGTTAGTCAACGAATAACTTACTGTACATCTTTAGTTTACCCATGCCCTTTCCAGATCTTTTCATATACAGCACATTTTAGAGACACTAATGAATAGAATTTACTGGATTTAAAGCAGTGACTGATACAGGTACAGTACATAATTGACCACATTAAACATTTTCTGTTTTGTATTGAAGATGCATTTTGGGATATTTGAATATGCAAAATATTATCCTGCACAAGAAATTGTAGGCATCTACACAGTAGAAACAAAATGTAACTTTTTTTTTTAACCAACATATCTTTTTTGTGAAAGTATAATGAAGGTTGCTCATTTCATTCAACAAACTTAATATTTCCTAAATCATTTTAAAGCCAGATTTTGATTTAAATTAGATTTATATTAAACCAAGTTAAGTTAGTATTTTAGTTAAGTTAATATGACAGAATTACTTATTTAGTCATCTGGCTATTGTAAATTTACTATTTGAATAAGTATGTTTGAACATATCTCTTTCCAGTGCATGAGTAAGAAAAGTAATTTTACTGTACAATCTAACCATAAGTCTTTTTAAATTAGTGTATTTATTGCAAGTACAATGCTACACAAGACTAAACAACCTAAAACTTCTGAAATGTTGTCCTGAGGGTTCAGGGAAATTTCTTATCTGGTGTATTAACAAAGTGGCAATAATACAAACATTCAAAAGAGGTTCAAAAAGGTTCTGGCTTTACAAATTCAACATGTGTTATTCATTCTTTTAACCATAAATGCTATAAAGTACATAAATGAAGAAAGAAGGGAAAAATGCCACCAAAAAACACCTTCAGAAAGCAATTCTCTGCATTATGCTGGATATCTTCCAGATTGTAGGCAATAGCTTGGTTATTGTATTCTGTTTAGGTACCTTGAAGCTCACAGCACTTCCTTCAACTAATGAGGTACTGAATGCCATCCGAATGAAGACTTTGTTGTTTAACAATATAGTACCCACCAACTAAAAGAACAGATGACAGCTGTTTCTCCATTTGCTTACTCAAACTTGTTGCTGCCAGAGCCTGAAGTTACATGTCTCACTGAGCCATTATAGTGATATGTGCATGATTTACAACTGTTGCCAAAAAAGTTGTGGTAAAGAATTAGTTTTCAATATTTTTTCTAACTTACTGCTATTACTTGGGTCACAAAATGAAAATCAATAAAGCATATTGACTCAATGAAACTTTAAGCACAATAAAAACTTCATTAAGGTTTTGAAGACAAATGTTTTGTGAAAGCCAAGCTCAAACATTATTGAAGTGCTTGATATCTACTGAAGTGCTACACTGTTCTCCCTTTTCAAGGTTGGAATGTCTGTCAGTAATGTAATGATACACAGAATCTGCTGTTTTTATTCTCCTGGAAACATTTTGACTTGTACCATTAAATAAACAGAAGGCTAATAAGCCATTTGACTTTCTTTACTGTTAATGCAATACAAAATTCAGCCTGCCACAACATTTTCTTATTTGTAAAACCTATATTAGATTTTTTTCCAAAGAGGAAAAAAAAGATGTGTTATTATCATATATTATCTGTAGCCTTCCTTTGTTATTCCACAGATCTTTTTCCTTATCCAAAGTCACAGGCATACAAAAGAGTCTTTCCATATTCATAAATCTCATTGTTATTGAGAAATCAAATAAAACAATGTTATTGTAAAAACATATTTGACATACATAAAAATATTATGGTAAATTAACCTGTTAAACTTGACCTCTGGTTTTCAAATCCCACAGTCGATCCCTGTTAAAGGCTATTTCAGATTTACTTTCTACCATTTCATATTTTTAAACACTTATGTCCATTTACAATAAAGACTGTGTAATATTCTGTGAATCACACACAGTAAAGCACTTGACTCAAAGGCCTTCAGATGTTTTCTTTTATTTTGGAACTAGAACACTTTAAGGTCTCCACTAACACAAGGTCAAAACATTTGCTTCAGAAATACACTGCCACTTTATTTTAGTTCTCTATTTATTTTATTAAGTTAAAGTACTTCTTTTTAAAATATTTAATATAATCACAATTATTTTGATATAGAAGAATCCCTTTATCAACAATGGCAGCCACAGGTACTTGTCATTTCTACTTGATCTTAATCGATATTTGCATATTTCTGGCATATAGCAATATTATATTCATTGAGTGCATTTTCAAGTGTTCCTAAACACACTGATCAATTGTCCTACCTTTTTCAAGTACAGTACAAGCTGCTTCCCCGTTGTCTCGCTATTTCAATACTGAATCACATTCCTCACAATATATCCCCTCCCACCACAATGTGAAAGATCCGGCCCTCAAAATCCTAGCCCAACCAGAAACTAGAGAATCTTTCGTCTCCAAAAAGAAGAGGCTAAAAGACTGTTGTCCCTCAAGCTCTCTGCACATGCTTAGTGGCAGCTGTGGAATGCGAACCTCCACACGAACAAGATAAAATGCACTTTGGCATAGTGTCACTCTAAAATGACTCGCATGTCAAGGATGCCAATCAGTGGTGGAGTTAAAAAGACTGAAGGGAGTTCCAGGACCATTTCATTCAGATAAATGTCATTAGTTGGATTAATCTGGCAGAGAAACCAATTGAAGGAATACAGTTTTACTGCTTGTCACGGGTTTCTTAATTAAATATCCTTGTTTAATTATCGTGAAACATCTTCTTAAAATGTATTTAAGTGTACCCTAATTCTAATAGGCAGTATTCAGTTTTAAAATGTTGAATTAATCGTTACCCTTATACCCTACTACAATCAAACCGTTGATTATTGATCTGTTTGGTATGACGTATTCTCCTGATCCTGTGACATGCCCACCTTTCAGGCAATAGTCATCCGACAACCTGCAAGCTTAACAATGCATGACAGGAGACATCACACTGATTGGAGGGTGATGTGTCTATCATGAACACCACCGCAAGCTCACAGGCATGAAAGCCTGAAAGTCAATATACAACAAGCTAAGAATATCCTCTTTGCCCCAAAGCCACACAGCCTTGATAAATCCTGGTTAATTGTACACCACCAACCCATAGCTGGTGTACAGACTGTAAGGCTTAACCTGTATATCCATCCTGGATTAATTTGCTCATATTCATTTTTTAATAAAGTTTTAATACAGTCTACAACTGAAAATAAGTCCAAAACTTCACTCTCTATCATCTATCTAGTTGTGGACTACATAATGACACACAATTGGATTTTCAGTAAATTGAGCACTGGTTCATCCATATGATAGCATCCATTGACCTCACTACTTCTGATTTTAATGAAAATGTCCATAAATGTTTTCCCTTGGGAGATATGGGAAAACTGAGATTTCTGGACCTAAATGATTGTAGGAAGTGGCATTTTTCTCAATTCTTTTTTTTTCTTTCATTTTTAACATGTCTTAGTTCAGACTCTTTACATCTTCTGAAGTTCTTCTGCTGTGCCTGCTATTGATTTAGGTACAACATCCACACAAATACAGGTTGTCTCTTGGTAATACATTGATTTTTTTAATTTTCAGCAGTATACAGTAGAACACTCAGTTATTACTTCAGTTTCGACATCTCCTTAATTAGCATATCACAATACTGCAGAAAATAAATTTTAAAATCGTACCCTAAGCATACTACCAAAGACAACCCTAGACAAAAGTGTGTAACTGCTCTCACTTCAAATTTAAGAGCTATAACAACTAAGCACACTACCAATTTGAAGGAGATTTGACTGACCTGTTTCTAAAAAACATATTTATTTTAGTACAATGAGACACTGAAGACGAGACCAATACAAGCATAAATTACATTCAAATAGCAACTTTATTAAGTGCTACAGATTTCAGGGCTGTGTGATGTGTGACCCATTTGGAGGACACGTCAGACAGCAGCACACATTAACAAGTAAGCTGATTGAGAAACACAAACCACTCGGCTCTGTGCTCAGGCAGATTTACTGTGCTTGTTGTATATCCCAGGGACTAGTGGCTTAGTTGTGTTTCTGGATCTGAGGCAACATGAGTAAGGTTAAATTTCTGAACTCAAAGGGACCTTTGAAATAATGTCCTTTCCCTAGTCATTCTGATCAAATCATTGCAGATCTGGGAGATGTGCTGACATCAGAGGAGCCAGATACAACAATGAATAGAACATACACGCCAAGTCCAGAACCGATGAGCAAAGCTTCCAAAGCTCAAGAACTGTGGCTACAAAGCAAATGGACAAGTTAAAAAGTAAGGCCAAATTGAAGTATGGCTTAATTCGACTTGACATCCTGCATTAAAAAACATGCTGTTCCACAGTCAATGGTGGGCAAAATGATTTCATAAGGAATAACCCCACAAGAAACAACCAATAATCTGTTCACATCAAGAGCAAGTATACCCTATAGCACTTGGCAAATAAACTATATGAACTGCTTTAAGCACTAATATAAAAGCATTACATTCTTTAAAGCATGTCCCTTCAGCCTCTGTACATAATTGGCTGTGGACAAGCTGTTTTGTTACTCTGACTATGGAAATGTGATTAGAATATTGTGACAGACAAAACTGTGAAGGGGTTAACAGATCTTATCAGGGGGTATAATGAAGGTAAAGTGGGAAAATGTCAAATGAACTAGCTGTGTCCCTTTGCACATATTCCATGACAGTATTTTGTATGGTTTGACTAACACTGAGTCACTTAAGATTAGATCTCTACTAGGAGCAACAGTCACCATTTTCCAAAAATACAATACTGAACGAATTTAAATTTAGGGACCATGAAGGACATACTAAAATTTGGAAAATACTCACTGAAACCCAAGACTTTTTACTCATAATCCCCTAAGAAAAACATTACTTCCTAAACTCAATCAGTTGTTCTTTGAGGGAGTGAAACCTTCTCAATGTTAATTGTTAAAAAATTATAGTTTGTAAGACCTTCCAAATGGCACCACAGCAAAGGACTGTCATTTTGCATAAATAAAAATAGCCATCTCTTGCAAACTCATAATTTTATAAATTTTTCACTTTTTGGTAAACCAACTTCATTCAACACTCTTGGAAAGGAAGGGAACCTATTCTGTATGCTCTAGGTTTATAAGAGCTAAAAATAAGTGCTTGACCAACTATATACAAATAATATCAAATATAAAATGTTTCATCTACATACCTCTTGGTTATTTTGATCTATATAATTCCTTTTAAAGAGCTGTGGATTTGTGTTAATTATATTAAATGGACTATAGGTCTGTTATGAACCAAGGATCAGAGGTATCAAGTAGAAAGAGTAGCTTCTTGTACCACTGAAAAGAAGAAACATTTTATAAACAGCTATGCCGCCTTGAACAAACAACCCAGTCTGTAATTGAAACTAATTGGGGCATCCCTTTAAAAAAATGGTTGGATAAGATTCTGAAATGGAGCACAGTTGTTACATGAAAAATGTGCAACTCAGGCAAAATTAACAAAATCACTCGCATTAACTTGTAGATATTACCAAAATTAATAAAATTTGTAATTAGTTTAACTTTAAACATAATAAGGCATGATCTCCAATTGGCTTATGAAGAGAACAAGAGAACAGAGCCTGGAGATTACAGGTGCCAATTCAAGTCATAACACACTGCAGCTTACGTCTACACTGGGTTTAGGGCAGGTTTAGAGCAGTTTTACTTAAGCTATACTCTTCCCCAAACCCAGTCTTGCAGGTCTCATGCATAAAGTCATATTTTCCCCATTCCTTTTATGCTTCTGACAACTCCACCTCTCTGTTGAGGCTCAAGTAACTAAATACCGACTACTTAAATTATAGCTCACATCTACTTCATTAGGGATCATAAAGATTACTGCATTTAATCACTGCAAATAATTTCTAATCTAACCAACATGATTACATCAAAACTTTCCATGTATTGATCCTGAATTAAAAACAGAAGTCCCTCTAAAGAAGATTAAGCCAAACC